GGAGTAATTGGAACAATTTAAGTTCATTTGATGTAACTTATACCACAGTAGTCCAGTAATAACAGGTATTGGTTTTGCAGAATACATTGTTTCAACCTTGCCCCTCTCCCTTTTCTATCATTGGTAGAATTCAATTCTAAACCCCCTCAAAGTCTTGATTTTCATAGGAATTATGTGCAATTCTAAATGTAAGTATCTTCAGAACTCTAATTTTTTTATTGTAAAGTAATGAGACGGTGTGTGGCTTATGGTACTCTGTCAAGAATTTCACAGCATTTGTTAAAATGGGTTTGAAAAGAAATGGGAGGAGGGGATCATGGGTCTGTGTGTATTACTGAGAGAAACAGTGTTGCATAGAAGTTGAAGCTTAGGCTCTGGAGTTAGAATACTGCTGGGTTTGGGTGCCAGCTCTACTAGTTACTAGCTTTGTAACTTTGAGCAACTTTGGAACCTTTAGTGTCTGCTTCCGGGAGGGAAAAACGGAGATGTGTACCTTACAGGGTTCTTTGAAAGTTTAAATTGATATATGCTTGTGAAGTGCTTAGAACAGAGCCCTGTACATAGGGCTCAACAAAGTTTGGCTATTTTTTTTTTTTAAGATTTTTAAAATTTATTATTTGTTAGAGAGCAAGCACCAGCAGGGGAAGCAGTAGGCAGAGGGAGAAGCAGGCTCCCCGCAGAGCAGGGAGCCCGATGTGGGGCTCGATCCCAGGACCCTGGGGTCACGACCTGAGCAGACAGCAGACGCTTAACCGACGGAGCCACCCAGGTGTCCCGGCTATTATTTTTTTAAAAATAAGGCAAGATGGGGTATCACTAAGTGAAAGACAGGAGTTTCCGGCTGAGAGATGTGAATCCAAAGTGGAAGGAGCTGGTGTTTGAGACTTTCTGTTAATTGTCATGTGTGTTTGGGTTCTGCATGTAGGCCACTGCCTCCACTGATGAAAAATGCAGCTCGTGGCCCATCCTAACTAGGAGGCTGAAGGCAGACATTGCCAACTTGCTCCTGCCACCCCACTCCCCGCCCAGGGAACTCCTTGGTTCCAAGGCCAGCCCAGGAATAGGACCTTTGTGCCCTGGCTTTGTGCCTTGGCTGATTATATTAGTGGGAGTTTCATTCCTCAGATTGTGTGATTTATCATATTTTTATTTTTTTTTATTTTTTATTTTTTTTTAAAGATTTTATTTATTTATTTGAAAGAGAGAGAATGAGAGATAGAGAGCACGAGAGGGAAGAGGGTCAGAGGGAGAAGCAGACTCCCTGCTGAGCAGGGAGCCCGATGTGGGACTCGATCCCGGGACTCCAGGATCATGACCTGAGCTGAAGGCAGTCGCTTAACCAACTGAGCCACCCAGGCGCCCTATCATATTTTTAAACATGTGTATAGTATATGGTAAGTACCACTATACAGTAGCTATTACAATTTTGTGAAGAACCCTGCAATTTCTTTGCAACAGGTTTCTGATCCACAGGCTCCAGTCTTGATAATTCTGGTGCTGTGTAGATGGTAATACCTGGATCTGAGCAGCTTTGGATTGCTTAGCTTCAATATGTTTATCTAGGGACAGAATTCAACCTATCGAGTTACTTGTCACTGCATAAGAAAACACCCCAAACTCGGTGGCATAAACAACAGTTTCTTCATGCTTGCAGATGCTGTGGGTCAGGCACAGCAGGGATGGCTTATCTCCATTCTATGATGTCTGGGGCTTCATCGGGGAGACTATCTGGAGACTTCTTGACTCCTATTCAGAACCTGGGCTGAGATGACTTGAAGGCTTGAGCAGCTGGAGTTGCCAACCAAGCACTTAACTGTGGCTTTTCCATGTGTCTTGGACTTTGTTCAGCGCGGTAGCTGAGAGCATTCTGAGAGAGAGCTGTGGAAACGGCATGGCCCTTTGTGACCTAGACCAAAACTTACATAGTGTCAGTTTCTCTGTACTTGACTGGTAGAATCCATCATAACCCTAACCAGATTCAAGGAGTGGGTGTGGAGAGGGAACATACACCCCACTTGTCAGAGGCAGGGGGGGTGTTAAAAAAAATTGCTGCAAATTTTTATAAAACTACTGGGATTGTGGCTCTATATTGGGACACATTAGGGTTTCTGACTTCTACCTATAGTAAAGCAAGCCATATCGCCTCTGTTGCAACTACTTAACTCTATCACACTGGAATGAAAGCAGCCATAAACAATTAGGTAAACAAATGACTGTTTCATTAAAAATTTATGAGCACTGAAATGTGAATTTCCTATAGTTATTACTGTCACAAAATGCCTTTTTAAAAAAGACATTTAAAAACGTAAGAATCAGGGGCGCCTGGGTGGCTCAGTTGGTTAAGCATTGGCCTTCTGCTCCGGTCATGATCCCAGGGTCCTAGGATCAAGTCCCACATCGGGCTCCCTGCTCAGCGGGGAGTCTGCTTCTCGCTCTGCACACCCCCTTCCCCTGCTCATGCTTGTGCCCTCTCTCTCTCTCTCTCTCTCTCAAATAGATAAAATCTTTTCTTAAAAAAATGTAGGATTCATTCTTAGCTCATACAAAAATGGACAGTGAGCCAAATTAGAATATCATGATTAACTAGATCTGACTTTGTTTTAAGTTAGAATTCTCCAAATGTGTAAAAGAAATACTGGGTATTTCTCAAATGTTTTTGTGTGTGTGTTTATACATATGTGAGAGAAAGACAAATGATTACAAATTCCATTTTAATTTTGGAAGTGAGTTTGTGAAGATGTTATTTAGAATTTTAGTTCTTTCAAATACACCTTATCTTTATACTGTTAGAGAACATTTGTTCCCAAGGGCAAGGAAGGGCTATACTCTTGATATTACAGGTGGAAAATTAATGATATTTACTACTTCAGAACCTAGAGAGAAAAGGTAGAACTTGCTCTTCTCGATGGAGTTTCCAGATACATGTTGTTGTTGTTGTTGTTTTTAATAAGTGTCTCAAGTTTTTAAAGAGGTTGTTGATCCTTAGACCAAAAAGATAAGGTTGAGGACTCTGGGGTGAGGGTTTCTTTTTCATCTTTATTAGTTCATTAAACATTTTTTATCTGCCTGCAATGCCGGGCAGGTCCTGAAGATGTAGAGATGAACAAAAACATACGTGGTACCTGCCCTTACAGGGCATCCAGTCGAGTGGGGTAACCAGACATTAAACGGATAACAGCATTGAAGTGTAGTGTGTGCTATGGGGAGGGAATGCAGGATACTACGAGAATATAGGTTTTTAAGCTGGACTCTGTCTCTCCTTCTCTACTAATCCATTGAATGTAAGAGTCCAGGAAAAAAAGGATTGTTATATTAGTGCAAACTTCTGTTTTAAAAAACAGCCAATTTATTGAGCACATATTTATTTAGCATTCTGGCCTCCACCTACCAGATGTCAGTGGCACTTTTTACCACATTCTAACAGCCAAAATTGTCTCCAAAATCTGCCAGATGTCTGCTGGTGGGGGTGGGGGTGGTGGCAAAATCACCAGTGGTTTAAATTCGGATGGGAAATTAAACTGTGTCTATACATTTTATCGTGAAGACCTCAGTGAGAAAAACGTAAATTTTTTTTAAATAATAAATTCGAGCTCAGAGATTAGAATCTGTTAATTTAAAGGACACACAGGGGCATTTGAGTGGCTCAATTGGTTAGGTGTCTGCCTTCGGCTCGGGTCATGATCTCAGGGTCCTGGGATCGAGCCCCGCATCAGGCTCTCTGCTCAGCAGGAGTCCCTCTCTCTCTCTCTCTCTCTCTCTCTCTCTCAAATAAATAAATAAAATCTTTTTTAAAAAATAAAGGACACACAATTCCTCCTCTGAAAATGCTAAAACAGATTTGGACAATTCTCTATCAGATGAAATGTTACTCTGATACACTTGTTATGTCCGGAAATTTTTCTAAACTTCATAGTTTGTGCATTGTTTAGCAAGGCTGAGAACCACCGTTATTTAAGTGAAACTCTGAGAGCTCCCAAACATCAATGGAACAAACTCAGAGTTTGGAATTGGCTTGAAAATAACAAATGAAGATATCCTGCTTTGGCTCCATGTCCTCAGCCTGTAAGCTATTGGATCGTGTGAGTTGCATGACCCAAAGGAGATGATTAGTTCTCCTCTAGTGTGCTGATAATGAATAGCTCTACAAAACCAATTAGCTATAATTCTGTCAGTCATTTCATTTGGGTAACATTTTGTTTAAGGGTAAGAAAAACAACACTGTTTTCCTTGGAGATCTCTAATTAAGCTGTGATATTTGATGGCAACAATGAGGAAAAAGCAGTATGCTTATCCATTTGCTTTTGTTATTCCCCCATGAAAGTAAATTATGATGAAGTGTTCTGTTCACAGCAGTTAAGAAAGACATTTATCCATCTTAAAGGTGTAACAGAGTAAACATGAATATATTTTTAACTGTATATTTTGTTTTATGTGGATGTCTACGTTGTACAACTCCAGAGATTTGCCATTCACATGGAGGACTGTGAATGGTGCCCCCCCTGGAGTTGTGTAGCAGAAGATACTGTATGTCCTTTCCCTTCTTCACATGTTTTTCTCTTGAAGATTTGTGTGAATCCAGAACCATGAATAGCGGGTTGTTTTCTTACAATCACTGTTGTTGCTGTATAAGTCCTAATGCTGTCATGCTGACAATAGTTATCAGTAGACTTTGTTTTCCTTTATCTAGCAAGGCATTTTATGGATCACTATTGTTCTATATGAGTTCATACACATGAGAAGTTCTTAGTGTATCGTTAGCTATTTTAGGACAGCAGATAACTGTTTTACTGTCGTCTGACTATCCTTCTGGGACTTCTGGACATTTTGCAGTTTTTATCTCAATTTACACCGTAGAATGAGACTTAGGTATATATTGTTGGTTTTACCTGAAGTATAATACATGCAGCCTGTAATATAAATTAATGAGCTTATTAGGAAAAAAACACTGTGGGTTATTGTGGTGGGCTTTTGATTCATTTTGCTTACTCTTTGTCTCACAGCTAGCCAAAAAAATCCGAGAGAAGTTCAACCGTTACTTGGATGTGGTCAATCGGAACAAGCAAGTTGTAGAAGCCTCCTATACGGCTCACCTAACCTCTCCTCTCACTGCAATTCAAGACTGCTGCACCATCCCACCTTCCATGATGGAGTAAGACTTTAAAAATATTTTTGTCTTGTTGAAACCCGGAATTGAATTGCTTTCCATTCATATTCAAATCCCTGTGCATGCTTATTGCAAAGTGTATAGTATTTCAATCTTAAATAAGCTCTTTGTCTTTACATGGACAAGTAATTTTTAAAGAAGTGGGACTCAACATTCTATGTCCCGGAAATTCCTAGGCCCTTCCTGCTCACCTTTTTGACATGTTGGAATTCAGGTTCAGAAGTATCAAATATTAGCTGAGTACAAAGTTGAATTAAGCTAAGAAAATTGCAAACATTTTGTCAGGTGTCAACTAGTGGGTCGTGAATAAAACAGCCTCACTGAATCTGGCAATTTGCCTAATTTAAGGGAGTGCCTTTTGTCTTTGAAAAGAGTAGCAAAAATTCCCACTTCATACTTTGGGACTTTTAAAGATAGCATCTATACTAATGGGAAATATGGCTTCAGATAATATTGCAACAGAATTAGTTGCAACAGTTAGGGATATTTTTATTTATTAGCCTAGTGATAGTTATATCTGGAGGGGTGTAGGGTCATGTGATGCCAGAAATTGTTTGTAGTGGAAAGAACACTTACCTAGAGGTACAAAGAACTGAATTTTTACTTAGTCTTTAACTAGCTGGGTGACCTTAATTAATTATGTGCAGTTTTATATCGGTGGATAATAATCTTTATTAGACCAATTTTCTGAGGCTATTGTGAGTGATTAAAAGCTGTTAGCATCCTTTAAAAATTATAAATGTTATCATAATTAGTATGTATTACTCCCGTTTTTGCACAGTAAGTGTTCTTAAAGGCATGGAAGGGATAGATACAACATAGTTTTTGGTGGTTAAATGTTTTGCTTCCAGAAGCAATTTTTTTTTTTTTTTTTTTTTTTTTACTTACTATGGTTTCTTGGTGGGCTATGTAGATAGCAGGGCATCCTTAAGTCATTTTATTCTCTGTGTGACATGAAGATGAGCTTTTTTCTCTGGCTTACTCTGCAGCCTAACAAGCTCCTACTAGTTGTTTACTAAACTAAGTGGGAAAATGTATACAATGTAGAATGAGCCTGTCTGGATAGGAATCCTCCCTAACACTCAGATGGTCTTGGATATTTGCTGTCTTAGCCACTCTGTCTTCGTCTCTAGAATGGGAACGATGATGAATACTTCACAGAGTGTTGTGAGCATTCAGTGAGACCAAATGTGAAAAATACTTGGTAATTTTCTGAACAAATGTTAACCCTTGTGTATACATACACGCACACACACACTTCCATATCATAGTGAACATCTCATTTTTTACTAAAAATGTAATCAAAGAAGATGTCCTTTTTTTGTAGTTGGGGCATCAGTAATTGAATATTTTTGACAACTTATTTCTTATCTAAAAAGACAACGAGGGCCCAGTTGGGTTTTGAACCAAAGAACAAAATCATTTTCAGAACAAGAAGAGCTAGTATATAGTAAGAGAGAAATCCTTAAAGCTAGAATTATGCTTAAAACAGTGGTTCTCGGCCCAGGAGTGATTTCCATCCCTCACCTTATCCCCCTTTCCCCTTGGACATTTGGCAATGTCACAGTTGGAAGGTGGGGAACAGTTGTTACTGGCATCTAGTGAGGAGAGGGCTGGGATGCTGCTCATGTCCTGGAATGCACAGGACACACCCCCCAAACAAAGAATTATCTGGTTCACAATGTCAGTAGTGCAGAGGGTGAAAAACCCTGCCTCAAAAGATAGGAGGTTTAAATAAATTCCTAAGTGGAACTGTTGCTCTACTCGAAACAACAAGCTTGAATTGACTGGTCTCTACTTGGAAATCTATCCTGTATGTGTTCATCCCATTACTGGTCCATCTTGTGAATTTCTATTAATGTTTCAAGAAGTAACTCAACAATTTGCCTCTCTCCATAGCTTCCTAATTCCTCTTTTCTCTCTCTCTCTCTCTCTCTCTCTCTCTCTCTCTCTCTCCCTCTCCCTCTCCCTCTCCCTCTCCCTCTCCCTCTCCCTCTCCCTCCTCCCCCCCCCTTATTTCCCTTTGCCCCTGGAGGGATTCACTTGCTCCCTCATCTCTGTTCCCATAGTAAGTTTCAAACACCTCTATTACAGTGTAGAACGTAGGTATCATGGGTTGTTGATGGTGATTCTGCCTCCCCTACTGTTCTGGGCAGGGATTACACCTCGTGCATTTTTACCCCAGCACCTGGCAATTGTATTTAATTACTACTTGTCAAAATCCGAGTTGAGTAAGGGGATGTCTAGTCTCAACAAATTAAAACTTTGGGGGTGGAGGGCAACTACTGAACATAATTAATAGCACAAAATGTAACACAGAGAGGTACTGTGGTTCCTCAATGCAGAGAAATGTACCAGGTGGATGGCAGCACAAAAGATTCTGTGAACTTTAGAAATGTGCATGTTATTTGATCGGCTCATTTGGGGGAATGTCATAAGAAAATAATAAGATATGTTTATAAAGAGAAGCTTGTAAAGAAAGTCATGGGAGTATGATTTAGAATAGAAAATGTTGTCAATACCTTAAATTTCTAATAATAGGGGATTAGTCAAGGAGATTGTTATCACATCCACAAACATGAGATGGTAAAAGAGTATTTGCTGACTGGTGAAAATGGCCATGCATACATACATGCACACATTAAAACTTTGGGAGGACTTATATCAAAATGTTTTGGGGTAAAGACCGTGATTTCCATTTTGAATTTGCTGAGATATAAGGGTTGAGGTCTGAGATGCAGGCCATGCAGATGGTTGGCAAAATTCAGTGGTCCACCTTTTGGTGAAAAAATAAAACAAAGTGTAGTGTCTGCCCTGCGGGAATTTCTCATTTAGTTTGGTTTACCATCCCAGGGACTTCTGTTCTCCTGGGAGGATACACACTGAGTAAGCACGTTAATAGGAGGCCCTTCCCTCCTTCGGAGGCTGGTATTGAATGTTGCATGGGGGCTCTGGAGAGATGCAGTGCAATCTTATCTCCTCCCTAGGAGTCATTGCCAGAACTAACTTCCATTTGGGGTGAAGCTCGTAAAACCAGGGCGGTTCAGACAATGAAGCTGGGTAATCAGAAGATTTATAGAGGAGTGAAAAACAGGTTCCCTCTGGTGGCATATTAAAGAGATAACTGATAGAAACTGTTCACAGCGGGGAGTGGCAAGGGATGACTATCCTTCACTTAGGGTCTTCCTGGTTCTGACTGAGCTCACTTATCCAGGGACATGTGTTTAGGAGTTTTTGGAGTAACTCCGAGCTGATGCTTTTTCTAGCAATTAGCTGAACACACTATCTAAAATGATGAGACGCTCTCTCTTTTTTTTTTTTTTAAGATTTTTTTATTTATTTCAGAGAGAGAATGAGAGAGAGAGAGAGCACATGAGACAGGGGAGGGTTAGAGGGAGAAGCAGGCTCCTCGCTGAGCAGGGAGCCCGATGTGGGACTCGATCCCAGGACTCCAGGATCATGACCTGAGCCGAAGGCAGTTGCTCAACCAACTGAGCCACCCAGGTGCCCTCACTTTTTTTTTTTTTTTAAGATTTTATGTATTTATTTGACAGCACACAAGCATGGGGGAGCGGCAGGTAGTGGGAGAGGGAGAAGCAGGCTCCCCATTGAGCAGGGAGCCCGATGCGGGGCTCGATCCCAGGATCCTGGGATCATGACCTGAGCTGAAGCCAGATGCTTAACCGACTGAGCCACCCAAGTGCCTCTCTCTCTCACCTTCTTAATGAAGATTCAAAAATGGAAACAGTTAATAGTAAGTTTTTGGGGTGAGCCAGGATGGGAATCCTTCGTTGCCTTTATTCTAGTCCCTCATACAACACTTTTCTCAACACTTGCTGTTTTGGTATCTTACTGAAACACATTTTCAGTATATATTTTCCATTCCCTCCAAAAATGTCTACATTTTGAATCTCGGGGAGTTCATGTTCGAGTTAAACACAGAAAGGAAGAACTCCCAGTCTTGGGAAGCAATTTGAGGACATAACTAAGAACAATTTTTTTAACAGTAGGCAGATTTGGTTTTGAATCTAGCCTCTTTCATAAATTGACCTTGGGGAGTCAATTCTGAGCCTCAATCTCATCAGTGAGCTGAGAATAAGGATAATACATACCTCACAGGGTTACCATAGGGAGCTGTCTTTAGGTTGTAACTACTTTATTTGGTAAGTGTGGATATTATCCTCCAGGTCAAGAGATACACTTTTTTTCTCTGCTTTAAAAGTGAACTCACTTAAATGAAAATATTAAGTGAATGTGACCAAAATCTTGAAGGTGATAGATAGGGTAATGATGAAAGTTCATGAAAAATGGACTCAAGAGTATTGCTAAAGTTCTTAAAAATTGTGAGATTTTACAGTTCTATAAAGCAGACTCTTGGCGCCCATGTCGTATATCTGGCTACATGCAAATGTATTCATACTGCCATTATAAGAAATATAAGCAGTTGAGATAAGGGACCTCCAGTCTTAGATCTGGATCTTGTCCGTTCTTAAACATCTGGGCTCTATAAACATGTTTTGACACCTAGCACTGGCCCAGTGGTGCTCAAGCTGTTTGTTACTAACATTTTAAGTGCCTGCCTGTGGCCTGTTTGACCTGGCTGCTTCTCCAAAGGCATCAAAGATGAGTTAGTACTAGGACAATATTTTCACAACAAATTTTAACCAATAGCCAATATTCAATTTTTATTTCAAGCCTAGAATTTCATTGTTACTGATTTATAATCCATTTATTTTTCTCACAAAGGCTTGATAATGCTTGTTTTAATAAAATGCCCAGTTCAGAAGAGAGAAGGGCTTTAAAATGTCCTATTAGAGATTCTGAAAGTTTATACCATGATGACAGCAGAGAGAACCTGCAAAGCAACAGAGAATTGATTTTTCAGATGATTTTGACACTGTCCTTCTTAGACCACTCAACTCTTTCCTACTCAGGAGTCCTACAAGTTAATTATTTTGTACAAGGCCCTGCGTGAAGATTAGGTG